GCTGAGGTTTGTTACTACAGGTTGTTATGTTAAAAATAGCATTGTTTCACATGACTTAGCTCAAAGGTATTTGTCAGTATAAGTGACTGAAAGCTAAAACTTGAGTTTTGTCATTTGTTGGTTCTTCTAAATTTGCTTTTTAATCATTAAAATATGTATGTATAGTTTGATTATAGGTCAAAAATATAAACTTAACTTGTAATACATTTGAAAATAATTGCTTTGTTCCCCTTTCCTTTCCCTCCAAGTCAATGACACCCTTGATGACATCTTTGATGGCTCTGATGATGAAGAAGAAAGCCAGGACATTGTAAATCAAGTTCTTGACGAAATCGGAATTGAAATCTCTGGAAAGGTGAGAACAGCTTATTTCATACTGAGAATAGCTTTTGCCACTTTTGTCAGTGTTTTTTTTTTTTTTTTTTTTTTGTCCATTAATACTACCTGCATGCTTTCAATGCATGTCAGAAGAAGTGCGCCCTCTGTCCTCATTCAAATGCTTGCTAACCTCTTTGTTCTCTTGTTTCTGTCTGATATAGATGGCTAAAGCTCCATCAGCTGCCAGAAGCTTACCATCTGCCTCCACCTCTAAGGCTACCATCTCCGATGAAGAGATTGAACGACAACTCAAAGCTTTAGGGGTAGATTAAATTAAAAGCCATACTATTTTCACTTTCTACAGTTATTTGATCTAAAGTGGGTCCGTTGTAGATTCCTTTTACAAAACATATTCATTTTGCAAAAATGAGGACCATGAGTGAACAGTTGTTTCCTGACCCATGGCTATTTTGAATCTTTGCCAAAGAATAACAGTGATGCAAAAATGGGAACAGTTGGGTTTTGAACCATGAAGGTCTGATGATGTGTGCAAAATGAGTTCTTTCTGCATCACATAGAGAAACAGTGTCAGTACTTAGTGCTGGGCGTGTTCTAAATCTTTTTACACCGAAATCAGAGTTCTTGTTAAATGCCGTTAGGCGCCAATGTAAAGAGCCTTGTAAAATATTAAAGGTGTATCGTTAATTCTGTATCTGTTGCTTGTCCTTTGTAGACAGTTCAGTTAGGACCACAGGCAGTGCAGCTGCCAAATTATTTTTAAACCATCTAAAGAAGAGTGCTGTTTAAACATCTGTCTTTAAAACTGTCATGAGCTTTGACTTTTCTTCCATTTTTCCCCCTTTGGGAGAACATTCTAGTTGGTAAGTTTATTACCTTTCAAAATGTACTTGGCACCTGCCTTAAATAGCACAAACATATTGTGCACATCTTTAAATTATTTTAACTGGCAAAAAAGAATTTCACTTTAAAATAAATTAAGTCTTAGAACAGTTACCCGAGCTGTCTTTTAAAGCTTACAAAAGCAAAGTGGATATAATTAGCAAAATGAAGGAAGAAGATGCTGAATTAATAACATTTTATAGCAATGAAACCACACTTGTTCTTTCTTCCAAGAACTGAGACTTTCTCCATATAAATTATGACTTAGTCTGTGTTGAATTTTGGTTGTATTAATATACACATTAAACCCTCTAAATTGAAGCCATTCTTCCAAATGAAGTACTACTACTATGACAATACTTGACCTAGATTTCTAAAGTAAAGGGGTTTTCGTTTTGTTTTGTTTTTGGTAAATAAATTGCAACTTTGTCAGAAATTACTGCCTAAAATGCATCATTGTGTTAGCAGTAATTTAAAAGTAAGTTAGCTATGTTATATAGAGGCCAAGAGGAAGGAGAGGCTGCCACACAGTTAGAAGTAGAAGAGTTAGAATTAGCTTAGTTTTGAAGAATGATGTTGTAATATATGGATTCTGACACATCCCAACACAGAAAGTGTAGGAACTCCAATCAGTTTGACCTGGCTGATCCCGAGGGATGGACTTTTGGACTGTCGGATAACAAAGGCAGATACATACTGCCGCTTTAGACATGGCACACATACACGCAAGGAACAGCAGCTCCCTCTGCCACCTACTTCAGAATCCGTATGCATCTTGTGTTCCGAGAGTAGGCCTCAGGACTGCTGGTCTTAAGTGCACAGTTTGCAGTATCCCTGGACTGGAATGGGTCCACACATCGTACTGTATCATCGGGTATTGCACCCATACCTGTTTCGGATGTACATAGTAATGCTGTTTAACCTGATTTAACTTCTTGTTTACATGTGGGAGCTTTGTGTTTTAAGATTATTTTGTCTTAAAAACAAACTCAATAAAGATTTATTGCTCTTACCCATTTTTCTTAACTCGTTTACTTTGTTTTTGACTGCTGTTAAGACTAGAAACTGTATGTATTTAATAGCTTTAACAGAATAATTTTTGCTATTTTTCTGTAAGGAATTTTAGACTGCTGTGCTGCTTCAATTTTATAAAACAAGATAAAATGTCTTTTTTAAGATCTGAAAATTGTTACAGGATTAGTGTTTGCCAGTGGGGCAAGCCCAACAATTAGTAGATTTCAATGAAACAGACTTGATCATTCCTTTCCTGCAGTCTCCAAGAACCAAACATTCAGAGTTATATTTTCAAATGTACAAGTATCAAGTACTTGCTTCTATTTGAGTCAAATATTAATACTCAGATCTTTGGACCCAAAATTGATGGTGAAATTATTCTGACTTGACTGCATTAATAGATTTTTGGGGGGGACACAGTACAATCATAGTAAACCTATCGGTAACTTTATTTTCTTTTACTAAAATTAAGAATTCACTTTAGAAATAGTGATTTTAGTTGGCTGAGTGCAAAAGAAGTCATTTGTAAAATTTTTCCTTAGTACTAGTATTTGTTTAGCATGGGCTCACCAGTGGAGAGGGAGCAGAGTAATACATTAGTGTCTCTGCGGCTAAAAGAGGTCCATCTGGTCATGGATGGTGAGACTTCAGAGTCCCAGCATGTCATCTACTGGGTGTGCTGTGGGTCTCCTTCCTCGGGGATCATGAGCCCCCAGTCTTTGAGAGTGGAGGGAAGCAGAAGTGAGGAACAGGGTTCATATGGCTGTGGAAACAATGAAGACAGCCCCCGGGAGACTTCAGCGAGACAACTCAACTCCATTGCAGAGTATGTAGAATACATGGCTAGCAGGGAACTATGCCAAGGGCCACACTAAAGGTAAGTTAGGCATGGGGCCTAGAAACATCCAAATAAGGGTAGGTAGAGAGGAGGAAGCCTTTCTGGGGAGGAGGCCTTCATGTTTCAGAGCTTGGAAAGAACTGCCAAGCCAGGATAGACTGCAACCTGAAAGCAACAGTGCCTCCCAACAACGTGCCTCTACAAATGAAGGCGTTTGGTGTTGGGAAGCATCAAATGACCATGCTGTGTTACACAGACTGCAGTGGATGCTAGAAGGGAATGCGTGGTAGACAGGGCTGGGTTAAAGTAGCTCACAACTGAATGAAATGAACCGGAGGAGGGGGAGCCTAGCAGGCTGTGCGTTGTTATTTGACTTTTATTTATACTTTATTCCCCTTTGAATGTCCAAAGAAACAGCTTTTCTCTGGTCAAATGCATGTTCCCCACAAGCCTAATTTTCACATTTCTGGCCCGTTTTCTGTGTACCTAATTTAAAGCTGCACCCACTTAAGTTTCACAAGGTTTGTCAAGGATGAAAAGAGACCTTTAATTTTCTCCTTACTACAAAAAGATTTTTCAGCAGCAGAAAAAGCTGCATTTTCCAATTTTGTCTTTGTAGAAACTAAGTAAAATGACTCTTTTGACCTTAATTTCTTTAAAAGAAGTAAAAGAATCCTGGATTATGAAGCCTAAAGATTATGAGGAACCACCACATTTCCTCTATTAGCCTTCAGACCTTGAAAGCCCACTTTCCCGTGCCCAAACTCTTGAAATGCTTCAAAAAGAAAAAAAAAAAAATCTTTTCCACCACGAGAGATCGAAGGTGTGTTCATCTTGTTGTATGAGTGTGTTTTTCAGCCATTTCTGTTAGGTAATGTTTAATGTTGTGTGAGAGATGAGCGTTCTTTCCGTTTTAATGATTTTCCCGCTGGATTCCTGGAGGCATACACTGTTTGGTCCACAAGGACATAAAATAGAAAGTCTCTGGCTGAAGTCAGCCTTTGGTCTTTCTTCCCCAGAATATGAACAGTCAATTGCAGTTGTCATTCTTTAATTATAGTTTAGGACTCTCTATATATTAGGCTTCTCTGCTTTACAGGTTAAAATCTAATTGAATATTAAATATGACTAGAAAATAGCCTCAAAATGCATTGATGCAAATGAGTCTACTGATGGTGTCTATGCTTGAAAAGATAACACTATAGACACATCGTTATGTTCTAATCATATATATTTGTTGTATAGATTATATTAAACATGACCATTTTATATATGTTTAAAATAAAAAAAAGCAACTGGTCTGGGTTTATATTGCATTGAATTTTGCTTCTTTTTAAGGTTTCAAAGTGCGGTGTGAGATTTTGCATGTGTATGTGTGCACATGTGTTTGCAATGAGACTGCTGTTTGCAAACTAATGTATGTTTTAAGTGGTTTAAGAAAATAGTAATTATCCAGAGAAACTTACATCTGAAAGACAGTCACTTGGAATTCTGGAGATGCAGCCAACACAGATTAGGTGGTGCACCTGTGCCTCAGTGCAGCTAATTTGTTTGGAGACATCTGTGTGTACTGAGGTATGTCCCTGGTCCCCTTTCCTTTTTCTTTTTAGGTACGGTCTTACAGTGTTGAATTCACTCTGTAGCCAGGCATCCTTTGAATTTGTGATCCATGATGGTTATGATAGTGGCTGGGATTACAGGCTTGCTGCCACCCGGTCCAGTTTTAATACTGTGTGTGTGTTGAGGGAGGGAAATGGAAGAAAAGGAGGGAGGAAAAACTGATAAATGAATAAACTTAATAAAAATAAAAAATATATATTAAAAGACACTGGATGGTATAATTTATTTAGTTAGTATGCTTAGCTGTTAAAGCCTCATCTAATTTCAACTCATGTTATACAGAATAAGTTAGATGAACATTGCCCAGAGACTGACATTGAAAACGCCGAAGTTGCTATTCTAGATTTGCATCACATTATAGGTTACACGTTTTAAAGGAGTTCACTTTTAGATTCAATAAATACCTTCCTTGTTGTAGTTCTGAGGATTGAAAAGTCAATATTTCCAACTTTTATTAATAATAAATCATGCTGTAACCAATCATAGCAAAATTGACACATTGTTAAGGGACCTCAAGTGAATTTCTACCCTGAGATATCAAAAATAGCTTAGATTTTTCAAGTTGGCTGACACCCTTCACATTTGTATCAGTTGTGCACAGTATGACCCATTCTTTAGCCCTGTTCATAGATTCCTACAATAAGCAAGCGCTTTTCTAGTCACCAGAGAAAAAACAGCAAATAAGACAGGTAGTCTTGCCCTGTTACAGCTTACAGACAGAGAGATTGATGGCAGGGGTCTGGAATCTTTAAAGTATATTTTTGTTTCTGAGTTTCAGTTATGCTCAAGATTGAGCCCAGCATCTGAAACATCCGAGGGATACTTTACATTGAGCTTAAGTTTGCAGCTTTTGTTTTCTGCAACAGAATGGCAGAAAGCTAATGTTTCTTAAAGAATATAGACATCATGCCTAAATGTTTCTACAAATCTTTCAAAAAATCATTTCTTTAGGAGCCAGTCCTCAATGTTAACTTTAAAGATACTCTGACTGAAAATTATTTCTGGTGGTAAAGGTAAAATTCTTGGTCACCTTTGTCCTTCAGACTTTACTCAAAAAATCTTTAGGGCTAGTGGCATGCCTAATATAAACCAATATACTTTTTCATTTTTAGATTTATTTTTATCATATATAAAGCTCATATATGAGCTTTTTGCCTACATGTATATTTGTGCACCACATGCATGCCTGGTGCCCACAGAGACTAAAAGAGTCATGAGCCCACATGGAAATGTTACAAATAGTTGTGAGCCAGAGGCAGAATGGATGAAGTATTGGGGGAGGGTTTCCTAGCTGTTAGTGTCTTAGAATTAAAATGAACACTGAATTCTAAGAACAATTAAATATCTCAATTTACATCACTGGGTTCTTAAAAAAAACCCTGCAATTATTGATTTAATCTAGTTGAAACTAATCAAGTGAGTAACTCCTGATTTTGCTCAAAAACTGAAAGGAGTGGAAAACTGCTACCCAAATGGCTACCACACCCGAGTCTTATCGGCAGTCGAGATGTTCCTTCGAAATAGAGAATAGACTTTGGTTCAGACTGGTTTTCACCCGTTTTTCTCGTTGCCTTCGGTTGCAAAACCAAACTCTTACTACTTCTTTCTCAAGGTTTAGTTCTTCAGCCATCCGCATGATCTCCTGAGAGGAAGGCTTGCTCTGCTGTCCAAAGTGCCTCTCCAGAGCATCCTTAGCTGCAATACTGGGGTAAGGGGGGGGGGGGGTTGATTGGAGTCGGGGGAAGATAGAGTTTGGGAGGAAATTATGTCTCTTTCAAAGAAGTTTTTGGAAAAATCAAATGAGGCTTACCTTTCTAAATATTACCCTGAAGAAGTAACTTATAAATTCTGGAAACACTCGTGAAAGACAAGTCTGACTTTTTTTTACACAGAGGCATGTCTTATTCCAGATAGGCAAAAATAAAGAAACTCAGGTTCTCTCACTTTATACCACAAGAGGGCACCAAGTTCTTGACAAAAGCAAAGAAGTGTGGGTCTTTGGAAGCACAACTGCTTCCTGCCCACTCATCACCTGCCCCAGCCATCCCCAGTGTTTAGAACACAGAAAATGTGCGATTGACAAGCAGCCGAGATAAAACCTTCTGCGATTTCCCATTAGTGCCTCCCAGAAACAGCAGTATCACTAAATTATACTTCACGGTTGTCAGGAGAACGGTCCTGATAGACCTGGGGCTGACACACTGGTAGATTCCTTTTGTTATTTTTAGTTAAGGTACTACACGAGCAGAAAAAAGAGCTTGTATCTTCAAGGCCATCAGTGAATTGTCTGGTTTCCATTTTTAGTCAAATGTCTGTGTCAAGCCAGTGAATCAAGAAACACATATTTGTTCATGAAATGTAAAATAGATACTACCTTTGTTTCTCATGAATTGGGGTTTTGAAAACATTTTCTGTTTCTTCGATTATTTCTATTCCTCCCACGTTGTTGCTCTTACACTACACTTTGATGCTGATTCCATGTGAACACTGTTTTTTCCTCTAGCAAATTTACTATCTCAAAGGAATACCTACCTGATAGTTGTTCTTCGTTTCCGTTTCCTCTCGTTCGCTCCCACTTTTTCATTGTACAACGCTGGATTGTAGGAAAGAGATAACAAAAATAGAAAGTAAGTTTAAACTAGCATTTGGGGTTTCAATTTTCTATATAAAATAATGCAAAGTACGACTGCCGTGCACGTCTGTCTTAAATGTTTGTAAGCTATTTTATATTGCATTCTATAGAAAAAGTATTAAAGCAAAGTAAATGTAAATCTTGTAAATATGGTTGTTTACAAATCCCATGTTCATTTTCAATTAAAACATTCATTGTAAATGCTTTGTGTCTTACTCCTTTTTTATTTCAATTACATGTATATGTGTGAGTTTGTATGTAGGTATGGGTATATGAGTACAGGTGCCTGTGGAGGCCAGCAGAGGACATCAGATCCCTGGGAGCCAGAATTGCAGGTGGTATGAGCTGCAGGATGGGGGTTCTGGGAACGTAACTCCAATCCTCTTCCACAGCAGTGTGCTCTGGATACCTGATCTCCTCATGCCAACCTACCTGGTTCTTTCTCAAGTCTTGCCACTATTACACATAAATTATATTCTCTGTGTGTGTGTTAGAATATCAAACTTTTATTTTTACGATGGTATTTACTTAACATACTATTGTGAACACTAAGATCAGGCTATAAAAGTAGCTCTTATAAGTTACCCCTGGATAACACAAAGTCCAGGAAATGTAGATGTTCAGGAATATCCAGTACTAAATTTATGCCGATAGTTTGATTTTTAGAAAGTTTCACCACACAGTGTGTCCTTTCCTAGGTAAATTTGTTTCTACACTTGCATCACACTGGTCTCTTCTCCCCCACATGTTCACTGAGATACTTATTTTTCATTTCCAAGAGACTAAAAAGCCCTCCACCCTCCTGCCTCAGCATAGACCCTGCCTCCCCTAGCAGTCCTTAGCAACTACACCACAGCCCAGGCTGCACAGATTCGCCCAAGTACCTCCGACTTGCTCAGCTTCCTCCAGCCACTTGGATAAAATTGCTTTCAGTTTGCATGCATTTTTGAAACTGAGCTGCAAGTTTTCAAATCGGCAGATGGTTGTTTGGCTGAATTCTGAGCCGTGCACAGCGGCCAGAGCTTCGCCCACGTTCGTCTGGGTGTATCCTATGAAAAGGTGAGAGATATAGCCTTATCTCCAACTTAAACCAGGAAGGTCAGGGTGCGTCCATCAGCACACGTGCTGAATCTTTGTGAATTACCCTTTAAAAACTCCATAGCCTTACAATTTAGAACTATTTAGATTTAGCATATAATTACAAAGTACACCAAAATGTTTCTCTAGTTGATAAGTTACTTTTTCTCTTAAAGTCAAGAGGACTCGCATGTAAACATAATGGTATTGAACAGATCCCGTGTGTGTGTCTTAATACTTGATAATGAACTTACAAATTCTTGGTCTTTTTTATCATGATTATCAAGTATGATACATGCTCAACATATTTGACCCATCAAGTATAGTATACCAAATGTATACCAAATGTACAGTGTTAGATCAAGCACACTTTTATGTATAAAATTTTTTTAGCAAAATATTGTTACACCAAATAAAACTAAGATTGAAGTTTATTTTGCCGAAAAATACTTCATTCAAAAGGCTGGCTATGGTCCCACATTTTATTCATAACTCCACACACATTTACTATTTTATTGGGTAAAACATCTATTGCCCAGCAAAAGGTCTTTATTAATTGCCCTGAACATCTCTAGCATATAAGGTAAAATAAGCCATCAACGTATAATTTAAAATATCCATAGCAATATAAACATAACTGAAAATAAGTATGATAATGAAGTCCCCTGCTGCTTATTACATGTACTCCGTACATATTATTTCAGGGCCTAGGGCTATATACCTTATGTATAATATGACTGCATATGATGCACATCAATAAATGTCATTACAAATTACCTACGGCTCATTCTGCGAGTTCAGAGGTTTGAACTATCATTTCAGCCCATTTAAAAAAATATACTCTTTCATGAATTTGAACCACAATTAGTTGTTATGGTTATTCCATTTTAAAAATACTTTTCAATAGAAAAGGAGCAGTGGCTTGGAATAGACAATTTACAGAAATGGAGACACAAATGGTTATCAGACAGTAATGTGAATAACAATAGTTTAAAATGAAATTTAACATTTTCACTAAAACTACAGTGCCAGGCCACTTAGTCTTTTCAAATGTCCCGAAGACTAAGAGCACACTGATCCTTAGCCGCTGCATACTTATTTCATAGTCTGGTCATTTGCTCTCTGTTGGAGACATAAGAGATATCTGTGATGGTAAAATTCTGTAGAGATGAGTTTGACAACATCTATCAAAATACATTAGTGTTTAAGCGATAATTTGGCACGTGCATTTTCTGTTCATATATGAATATCGATGCAAAAATGCATTTATAGAGTTACTAACTGTGGCGTTGCTTTCACCACTAAGAGACTAAAACCATGTCTCTTAGTCTCTAAAACCTAGATAAATAAACTCAGGTATTTATATTTATAAGGGGGTAGTCTACAGATTCATACATACCCTGAGGAAGTGAACTCTGAAAAAACTCTAAGCTCCCCAAAATTATCTGCATAAAAGAATATATACATTGCTTACAGATGTGTGAGATAGCTCTAGAAAGATACCCAAGAAATGTGAAGAAAAAAAAATAGGGAGCAGATGATGGAATGTCTTTTACATTTTCATCGTTTCAAATTATATGATTGAAGTATCTATTCAAAATTTCAAGTAAAATATTTAATAAAGGGGTCACTTTAAAGTTAATCTTAAGGTAGGCTAAATATAAGGAAGCAGTATTAATTTAAAAATACATGCTTTCATCCTGTTAAGAATTTACAAGAAATTAAAGAATTTTGATGTGTTTTAGTTTTCCCAACTTGACCAAGTTAAAGGCATAGGAGACACAGAGATTGTGAAGCCTCTTGGACTTTCAAGCAGAGAGTAAAATATTTCCCAGTAAAGAGTAAGATTTGCAGATAAAGTTATTTGACCCATAGCAGTTAGCAAATGTCAGGAGCCATTTCCCCCCTAACAATCATTACAGAGACCATCACTCTAGGGAGTCTGCAGAGAACCTCACACCCATAGTTATGTTCTATTGACAAAACCTGCCCCTCACCCAATTAACTGCTAATCTTAGCGGAACCCGCCTCACATTCCAGCTATCCAGGGAACCAGGTGTGGCCACTTGTGACTTCTGGCCTGTCTGTCTGAATGTAACCGAGCTACGTGACCGGAACCACGCGGCCTGCGAGATCCCGTACCCTGCCCCTCATCCCTTACCATATATAAACTGTAACCCGTCCCTAATAAACTGAGGCCTTGACAAAGTTGCTTGGCCTCGTTCTTCTGTCTTAGCTCATTCCCTTCCAGGTAGCGCCCCTCCGAGACCCTGGAATAACTTGATTGCAGGGTGGGTTACTAACCCCTAGACTGAGTAGCCCACCCAAACGCAATCCACAAGCAAAGACATACCTAACTTAATTCTTCTCACTTTAAATTCGTTGGCAAATTGCTCAAGTTCCCGGATTTCTGGGGAGTCCATGTCAATTGGCTCTTCAACCAGTTTACTTTTCCTCCTGAGTTCCTGCTTGAATTCAGAGGCTGTGGGGTCTTCTGCCAGGAGAGGCTGGTGCAGTGGAGGAAAGCCATGACTCAGGGTGTGATCCGGAAACTTGTACAGACAGGGGGTTAGACCGCCTGTGTGTAAAGGGAGAGCGAAGGACTGTTGGTGATTATGTCTGTTTCTCTACAAGCAACACTCTTGCTTATTATTATTAGTTAGTCTCGTGAGTATATATAAACACTAAAAACCAAGTTTCAAAGAGTACATACAGTAATTATTCTCAGAAACATTAAAAATATATTAATACATCACAACTACATCATGAGTTAAAGAAACTAGTAATAATAAAATATGTAAATTTTCCAATAATATATAAATATTTAATAAGCAATAGTGCAAATCAGCAAGTTTTTAGCTTATATTATTTATATAGGAATATGTAATAATAGAACTCAATCCTATTCAATAGGCAGAGTGAATAAATAAATTTTTAGTGAAAATTAAGAATATCAATCCTGGAAGGTTAAATTAAATAGCATGAAATAAATTCAACTTTAAATTCAGGTGTGATAACGGTTTAAGAAAAACTTTTTTTTTCCTTTTTTGGTTTATTTAAATTTTTTGCATATGAAATTTTACTTGCATGTATGTGTATGTACCACATTTAAGCCTGGTTCCTGTGGAGGTCGGAAGAGAGTGTCAGTTTTCCTGGAACTGGGGTCAAAGATGGTTGTGAATCACCATGTGGGTGCTGAGAACCACACTTCAGTCCTTTGCGAGAACATCAAATGCTACAAACCACAGAGCCATGTCTTCAACTTAAGAGAGAAACTACTTTTGTTGTTTTTAAAAAAAGTATTCTATTTTTAAGAGTTGTCCAGTTAAATTTCAGGATAGCCTTTTTAAAAAAAAAAAAAAAAGTATGTATACAGTGTTCTATCTTCCTGTAGGCCTGCAGGCCAGAAGAGGGCACCAGATGTCATTACAGATGGCCGTGAGCTACCATGTGGTTGCTGGGAATTGAACTCAGGACCTCTGGAATACAGTCAGTGTTCTTAACCTCTAAGCCATCTCTCCAGCCCCCCAGGATAGCCTTTAATAAGAAATGATACTTATGCTAGCCATCCTGGTCTTTGCTTCCTGTCCTCATGCCCATCACAATCCTGCAGTAATGTAAGGCCTCTCTATAGGACATGTCTGTCTATTTCATGCTATCAGGTTCCTTTTCCATCTAAAACTAAATGAATTAGAAAGGAAAAGTTGTTTATCTGCCCCACAATTTACAATCTAGGAAGTCTCTGTATAAAGAAACCAGTAACTTCCTTCCAGATAGTAGCTGCCTTAACTTTGCACAGTAGTCACATCGACTGGATTCAACCGACTTAGAAAAAAACGACAACTTTATTTTCCAGTCCATACTCGGGTAACTCAAACAACTTTCTCTCAAAGCTTTCCTAAATTTAAACACATTAGGTCGCCTCTACTCAATCTCTTTCAGGCACAACTGGAAGAATTTAAAAAGCGCATTAGCAGTGAGCCACTCCGGGGAAATCCGAGGGTCATTTTTCTTAGCACACTCTCAGAAAGCCGATGCCTAGAAAAGTCATTGAAAGGAGTCAATGAAAAATGAGCAAGAAATCCCAAGTTGCAAGGTTTAGTGACCACAGTAAGCGTGAAAGCATGACGTGGTGAAATTTGGAGCGTCCATGAAGCATCCATGATTACAGCTGTTGCATCATCATCTTCATCGAACTTGCCTTCCTGAGCACTACCCTAGAAGCTAGCATCACAATCAGACAGAATTCTCTTCCCAGCCTATGCCTCGGTCTGCGGAGCATGGGGAATGGTGGTACGGTATGAATAACAAACTCTTTTTCAAATCTTTTCAAGCCTGGATTACTTTAGAACACAGTGAGCCATGCAGCAGAAATCTCAAAAATGTTTCTCAAAACACTGGTAAAGCAACACCACTGTTTGCCTGAATGAGGATGCCTGTGAAAAGCTTGGAAATGCGGGAGCCCTCTCCATATTCCCTTAGTTTCTCACAATGCATACTGATCCACTTTGGCTTCTCTGAATTGTTCTGTATGTCTTTATGTATGGCAGACGTGGCAGAAGACAGATAAATCTTTTATAGCAGGCACGGGGAATAGAAGTAGAGATTGCCTTGCAAGCTATTGACTCAACCCTTCATGTTTGTGGCTGAGAACATCTCAGGCTAAGTGGTGTTATAAGAACAAACAACGGAAGCACAGGGGCATGGAAATACATGTCTGCATCAAAACCGTGCACAGGAACAAATAGTGAAATATTTCTACTTATTCTTCTTTTTTTTTTACACATAACATTAACCAGCAAATCATGTTCAAATCTGACCATTTTCCCATTTTTTGAGGACTGTATATACTGTCTGCGCCAGACATGGGTTCACAGTTCAGTTGACAAAATAAGTTTAATTGGCACACAGCCATTGTCATGTGTTTCCATCACAGCCCAGAACTGCTCTCCTGCCCCAAGAATGGTGAGGTAGCCGAAGCAGAGAGAGCTTAGGCTGTTTCCAATCTAGCTCTTTACAGAAGAAGGCTGCAAAGCATCAAGAAGGAAAGGCACCTCAGGGATGTTGGAAGGCCTTTCATGAGGAAAAGTCTTCAGAACGAGTCTTCCTGGACAACCCTACCATCTTGGGACAAAAGAAAAGAAAACAGGAAGGGCGACAGAGAAAAGAGAAAAGGGAAGAGATGGGGGGGGGCAGAAAACAAAAGGCAAGAAGCTAAAGGGAAAGGCAAACGGATGAATCAAGAGATTTCTACGATCTTGTTAGGTTCCCTAACAGAAACGTTTCTTCTTCCCTTCCTCTTAAAATGTACTTTTAAAATAAGGACTTTCCCTCCACTTCAAGGCTTAGCTTCTGTACCACATTCCCAGAGGGGTCCTTGTTGTTTGCCATGAGACTGGTTTGTCCGACTGAGCTTTAAGATGTAGTCAAATGCAAATAAATTGTCTTTGGTTTTCTTTTGAATATTTTGGTTTTTCTCTCCTTTCTTTTCTTTCCCCCTTAACTTTTAACAGTTTCACACTCAGCAACAAGACCTATTTGTTATTTCTATTCTGAAATTAAAATTGTTCACTGTAATTTCAAGTATTAATTTGTGTTTATGCCTTTAAAAATTGCCTGTTCAAGTGACTTGTGAAATTCAGAAGAATAAATATGTAAGAACACCTGTTTTGGCAAGATTGAAGACCTTTTTGTTCAGGGTCCCTCCTGTTGGTATTCCAGACATGTTTTATAGGTTGAGGTTACATTCTCTGCACACTTTAAGGTGTCTTCAAGTTAATCCATTTTTATACTTAATACTCTTGAAATTTTGAGCCTCCTACATTTTTAATTACTGAAGTTTAAAAATTAAAACCAAATACCAAACCACTGTCTGCAGTCTTTATATGTAAATCAGACAATAAGGTTTAGTAATATAATATGTTTTAGCATTCTAACTTCATTTTATAATATGAAGCAATATAAGTCTTAAAAATTATGTTTGTGACAGTACAGTAATTTACTTTGCTAGTACAATTTTTCCTATTGGTTTACATATACTTTAGTAGCTTAAACATATACCACAATAAGCACAATATTCAATAACTACTAGATTGTTTTGTTCTTACATTTTTACTACAAATGCAATTTGATAGATAAAGGAGCAGAAAGTCACAGAAATACAGCAATCCTTGCAGGGTACATGCTTTCTATACCTTAGACTGAGACATTACACAATTCAGATCATTATTAGGAGCATTAAGAAAGCATGGAACTACAAGTTAGGCATGGTCCAAAGGTAGGTGTGTTGAGCACAGCACATGAAAGGAATAGCCTTCTGCTGGGCTGTTAAACATAATTGGTTTCTAGTGTTCATTTAGGTTTTAAAATAAGGACTTTCCCTCCACTTCAAGGCTTAGCTGCTGTGCCACATTCCCAGAGGGGTCTTTGTTGTTTGCCATGAGACTGGTGTACCCAGTAACCACAGGACGGTGGACAGAAGAGCCTCCATGCTTGCTTCCTAAACTTCGAGAACCAAAGCAAGCTAAGAGACTCAGAAGCCCAAGTGTTGAGCTTTTGATTTTGGACTGGAAGTTTGCTTCTCTTTGTGTTTTCTAGCAGGTTTGTGAAGAACATTTTTATGCCCTCCTGTGGTTTATACTGCATACTGCTGATATTACATCTCAATACGAAGGAGTGGAGAAGAAGAAGCAAATGATCAAGACTATCTGAGGAGAGCAGAAGATTACAAACCTGCTTCAACGGGAAACTGGAAGATGGGTCTCATTAGTTCATTGTGTACCTTTTTGCTGTTTCCAGTCCAGCCAGTTGCTCTCTTTAGTGTGCTGGTTCCTGGACTGAGCAGCAGGCATTTCCTCTAAGGATTTAAATCTTCCTCACCAACCTGACAAAAGTCACAATAGCTCTTTCCTTCCTGTGAGCTAATTTTATAAAATATTAAAATGAAACCCTCAGACTACGGGTAATACAATAGCTATATTAAAATTTTCCACACCCTTTGAGACAGTTATTCCAGTGGTGGCCCCTCACAGGTACACAACATCAAACCTGCCCATAAGATGCGTCTGTGGATCTTGACGGAGAGGCTGACATTTCAGAAAATACAAATGTCAAAGCCAGGTTTCTATCGTCTGTTTTACACTATGCCTTCCTTGTTTTTGAATGGCTATATTTTATGACCCAATTTGTGCAGCTTCCCTGGGAATGAAAGCATGAAAATTCAGATTGTCTAAGGGTTAATCTACGATGAAGTACATGCTAATGCTGAATCTATGTCAAGTTACCAGGCATGCTGACAAATTATGAAGCATATAATAGTTTAATGACATCCCTCTCAGAAATATTCAAATATAGTCTCTGTGCACCATGGTGAGATTTCATTTTAGTGATGAAATATAATTCAGTTTGAAGGCCACAATGATACCTCTAAATCTTGATATGACAATTGTGTTCATGATGTCACTAAACCAGACATTGGATATGGTAAATGTCTTTCATGGGTCTTTTCCCATGACTATGTTGAGATAAAAAAAAGAGAAAGAAAGAAAGAAAGAAAGAAAGAAAGAAAGAAAGAAGAGAGAGAGAGAGAGAGAGAGAGAGAGAGAGAGAGAGAGAGAGAGAGAGAGAGAGAGAGAATATAGACAGATAGGTACTGAATGGGAGAGGGTGTGCAAAGTGTTGTCAGGTACCTCTAAATGGGACCCTGGCCTGCTGCCGCCAGTGCTAGGGCAGGCAACATTATAGGACTCTGAGGCTAGCTATAAACTCTCCAGATGTACAAGGGATGTGCTACCTGAAGGAAGCAGGACAAGAGATAATTAGCCACTGGTCTGTGGCTGGTGTATGTGTGTGTGTAAGTATATAAATGTATGTGAATGTGTCTATGTATGTGTTGATTGGTTTGGTTTTAATACTAACTCAAGCTGCCTCTTTTTGAGGAAATAGGGAACTGAAGGTGCACAGAGATTGCTGGAAATCACTTTCCTCCAGCAGAGAGCAGCATGCGACCACATGCTTGTCACTTTCTGTTTAGACACTCAAGGTTCTGTGAAAGCTAAAGAAAGTGTTCTACTTCCCCTCCGAGAGCTAATTGAGGATAGTTTGCTAATCCACATCTGATATTGTTCATCAGTGAGCTTGTTGTTCTTATTGTTTATGAATACTGATTAATTAGACAGTTTAAAGGTAATGAATTTTCAAAGAAAAAAAATGCCTTGGCTTTAGATAGTCCCTAATTATTGAAAAGTAAAACCAGGTTGGAGAGACAGCTCAGGGGTTAAGAGCACTGGCTGCTTTTCCAGAGAACCTGCATTTGACTCTGGGCACCCACATGGCAGCTTACAGCTGATTATAATTCCAGTCCCAGGGGTTCTGAGAGCCTGTTCTGGCCTCTGTGAGCAATGCATGAAACTGACACACAGACATACGTGCAAATAAAGCACCCATAAAAAATAAAATGAAAATTTTTTTTTTAAGAAAGAAAAACCAAGGTTTATAGGCAACCATTAAAAACACAGCTCTTTGAAGGAGGTGGGTAAAGAGGTGTAGGGGAATTTGAAAAAAGGAAAGAAAATGGTTAAAATTTGTTATATTAAAAACAAATTAAATAAAATATTTTAAAAAAATACCAGTCTTCATTTTAACACAATGGTTAATATGTTGATTTATTCAGAATGATGTTTGGCCAAATGTAGAAAATGCTAATGTCCTCAATGTTTTATTTTGAAATCGTAATGCTTACTGAGAAATTAGAGATTAATGAACTAAATTCTTATTCCATTTATCTAGATATTCAAAATTCTAAGCATATCTCTTTTTTTCTCTGTATATAATTGCTTACTTGGAAGACAAACATGAGTATATTTTAAAAGGTTTCCTTTATATTTGATTCCTTTATCCCAATTTTCTACTATCTCTGCCTCTCTTTCTCCTCCCCACTCCTTCTTCTACTACTAGGTCTTAGGTTCTTTTCCCCCCCTCCGATGAGAGTTGTTTTCCAGCTGCAATAACAGATATAAACTACTAAAATATTTCCTTCAGAGCAAACTAACAAAAGCCTGTGAACAATATTCCATATTTTTTAACTGACTAAATTCTTTTCCTTAATCATGCCCCCAAATTAAGTAATAAATTCGCGGATGACTGGGTCTTGTAGGACTGGTGTTCTCATTTCTAGGAAGCCAAGCTATCAATGTATTTACACCGACACCAAGAAGTTGACGTTAGACTTGAAGGAAGGGCTGTGTCACGTCTCCTGAAAAGTGTGTCCCTTCACTACCTCAGTAAAGCTTCAGAAACAACCTAGCTTCGAAGAACCGCTGCAGCCTGAAATAGCCATTGCTAAAGTCTCTGAACAACAGGCCGAGTCTTCAGTTTGTATCTTCTATTTATCTTTCTGGAATGGGCATACAAAGGCAGTTGTAATGCACCATAATCCGTGGTCTCAGATGGAGTAGCCACTAGACAAACGAGAGTACTCGCCCCTGGAAATGGAGCTAATTTAGCAGAGAAAGCAAATTTTAAATTCTTATTTTAATTAACTTTCATTTAAGTAACCGCATGGGTTCTATGATCCAGTATAGTACTGCTGGAAAATCCCGCAAAGGTAAGAACAAGTGGCATCTCATAGTTTAACAGTAGTAAGTTAAAAGGCAAACAGACGACAGCAAAACCATGCAAAGCTCACACAAGAGTCAGAAACCCTGGACTTTCTGAGAGCCTCACAGGTCAGGGGACACTTCTGCAGGTGGCAGATCTACCACTAACTTCCAAGCCAAAGGACCAGAATTCCTGTTACAGTCTTAATACCATTCTCTCTGGTCCAGAACCCAACAACATTTTTCCCCAATCAAGATCACACAGAAAGTTTTTTCTTACCTGCCATTACGCCATAGGTGGATGGCTGGTTTCCATAATGACAGGAAGGCACAGAATAATGAAGTCCAGTCGCTGTATTTCCCACAGTTGTCATCGAGAAATACGTGTGCAAACATTTAGGAGTTTGGATCAAAGACAAAATAGACGGGACTGGTAAGAAAATGTATGAGGATTCAAGACACATTCAACTCATTTCAAAATCACACATTTATGCGATTCTTAAATTATACACCAGTATGTGCTTTCTTCCTCACTGGCAATTTTCTAATGAGCAGATAATATCAGGCAAAAGTGGACCCAAGTGATGAGATTCTATATCGGAAAACTAGACTTGTATGTTTTATGTTGAGGCTACAAGTATCTCACGAGGAGAGGTGGGAAGACAGGGAACCCCAGCCCTTTGAGATTTGGAAACTTCTGTGGGTTCCATCCAGTGGATATTGCACCACCATCATTGATAAGAAGCCTGAATATCATTGCATCGCACAGTATTATAAGGAGGGTGTCTCTGGAAGAACAAATACTGACAGAGACTCCTAAATCGTCATAGCTGATAAATTACTGATTTCTTTTGCTAAAGAGAAAATGCCAGAGTAAGGATTTTCTTGTTTAGATACAATCATGAAAATATTGCCACTTTCATGGTTTTGTGAAAACCTTATGACGGTGTTAAGCCCAATTATTATACGGCACTTGCAGGTTTTTTCATGTGACAATATATAGAAAAGTTTTAATGATAAAGTCAGTCAAAAAACAAGTTCTTTTATCACTGAAGGTTGTATATATACGCACAATTATATAAATAGATATATGCTTCCTGAAATTGGTGTGCCTTTAGAAATAAGATATGAACTATAAAACATATATGAAGTTTTAAACACATATCACCATTTTAACAGCAGAAATGTTCAACAATAAAACTACTAGAAAAACTTTCCCCATGTATTTACTTCCTCATTATTCTCTCACAATCCTAAATAATTTATAATACAATTAAATAATATAATTAGGTTGTTATAATGAACAAAACATTTTTTCAAATAAATAGTATATAGAGTATGTAATTGGGAGTATATGTTATAATAATTAATTAAATGAGATGTTTTCATAGAATAAATATATTTTGTCTAAATATAGATCAATATTTCATTGTAAATATCTGCATAAATTTCCCATCTATAACTGATATAGAGTTGTGAAATAATTTTACCGTATAATGGTTACACAGATAATTTTAAGTATTCATTTAAAAATTTCAACGTATTTTAACCCTATATAATATCTAAGAGCTTTTATTAAAATGATTAGTTCTAATTTCTTATCTAACTACATGTACATATAACTTGATAGAAAAATTATAAATCATTAAAAATAATTAAAGGAAATGTTTACAAGTTTTATTTAAAATAATTATATGATATTTCTTTTTTTGATTTTAGGAATTTGGATAAAAGATAGGTTAATTTATTAAATGCTTTGCTATGTATTTTTAAATAAACCTATAGAACTTAAAGATACATCATTTTGCTACATCATTATTTTAATCTCAAATTTTGATTTTCTATGGATCAAATATTGTTCCTATAATCAATTAGAGAAACATAATATCATTTTTCTAGTTCTCAACCTATAAAATGTATTAGTTTAAAAATGTGGTTTTATTGTAATGATTTAGATTATTTATGGAACTGTTTATAGGATTATTACAGGATTAAATTATTTTAGTATTATATTTTCCAACAAATATGTTTAAGTACACTCTCAAAATTACATTTTAAATTAAAATATGGGAATCTTTCATAGATTAAGTGATGTTGTCAGAGTCAACATGTCTAGTCTCCTGATTATTTAAAACCAGCCAGAGATGAATGAAAGAGCTTCACAAATGTTTGGAAACTGCCTAGTTGTTATAAGTTCTTTAATTGTTTTAAATCATAATACGACTTTTATTTCTACAAATACAAAATTGTATTTCATTTCTCCATCTGAGTCAAATACATTTTAAACAGATGGAAGGTGAATACGGATTGCTAGTATGTGGAAAAACTCAGTTAGTTCAAGGAACCAGCAATCTGTAAATAGATTTTGAGACCATTTGTTATTGCATTAAGTGCAAATATATTAGCAAAAAACATTCGCTTGCTTGTGCCTAGTTTTGAGCCCCAATTTGTTTTATTTAGGAATATAAAGACAAATTTAAAAGTTATTTCTAAAACTCAGTCTTGAGAAAGTTTAACTCTCTGAGCTCTAAATATTATCTTGCTTTCTTTTCTAAGTTTAATACTATGCATTTTAATGCAAGTTTAATAAAGCATTTAATTACTATATTCATTAAAGCTCACTTTGGTTTGTGTTGGGAATTTTTTGGTTTATTTTTAATCAAGCTTATGGTTGTTTAAAAATAGTAACAAATATAATTCAAAAATGAAATACATTTTTAATATAAAGTAGTAGTACCTATTTAACATTAAAGTATTTTAGAATATTTCATTTTGATCTTTATCCATAACCATCTCTATTAAAATAGTTTCCGAGAGTGAAAACGCTCAAGCTCATTATTTGCTATGTAGAAAAATAGTTCTTCAATTGTAGAGGGAACCAATAAATTCATACATGACTTTCCTTACTAAATTTTCTATATTCTTAGGCAACTTAATATTTAACTAAAGCAAACTTAAGGAGAGAAATGAAACAGAGAAATATTCCCCAGAAAGATTCATCACATCGGTTCTGAAGGCTGTAGGCCCAGCGGTGGAAGTCAGTACCTGTAGACATCACGTTGGTGGCATGGTTGGAGACGGGGAGGCACTCAGCGGCACTGTGATGCATTATCAGAGGCAGAGCTGCAGAAGCATCAGAATTCAGAGGTATAAAGGTATCGGCCGAAGTGAAAGATTGGCAACTCATTCCCACAAGAGAGTAGAAAAATAAGACCCGCTGCTTGCCAGATCACTTTTATTACATTACTGTATCAAAGGGCCGATTCACCTGCATATATACATCAGGAAGGCTCTGAGGCACCAGGAGGGTGCGGGCGAGTATTTATACCGTGAGGAGATCCATTTATACATGTTAATAGCTTTTTCCCAGGAGTGTTGCTGTGTCAACTCGAACTGTCTTTCTTACCCAAGTATTATCTGTGCCCAAGGAGGAACCTGCTTGTGGGGTACAAATTGAGGGGATGGCAAAACCACAAACTTTATTTGCTATCTCTAATAAATGAGACCTTTGGGGAAGAATCAGAAACTTTGAAAAGGTTTTTCTCAAAGTTAATAAGTGACAATGAATTGAAAACTAGGTGTGTTTAGGTTTCTAATATAATAAAAGCCTTAAATATGAGATAATTTCCTTTTGCTTAACGTCTTAAATAACATTCAAAGTGGTATTAAACCAGGGAAATGCATACTATATAATTTTAACAAGTGGAGTACTTAAGGGCTGGCAAATGATGGCTCGGTGGTCAAGGTGCTGGCCACACAAGTCTGATGACAGGAGTTCTATACCTGAACCTGTGTAAAGGCGGAAAGAGAGGACCAACTCTACAGACTGTCCTCCAGCCCCTGCATGCATGGCGTGGCATGTAACTTCACAATATACATCATGTGCGCGTGCACACACACACACACACACACACACACACACAAATGCAATACTAGCAACAATGTTTAAAGTAATGAAATGTTTAAGTTGACACTTTGGAAGGCATGGGAGAGGAAATAAGACAACTCATGTGCTGTTAGTTATAAACTTAAATTCAACAGCGCATGTTTATGAAAAAATACAAGAACTATTCAAAGTTGTCCTGTGAGGATTCAGTGGAAAGATTTTAATAATGTATAGTACTGTGCAGAGAAGATAAGCAGAAGTGACGCCATCTTTCCCTTGATTTCAGTGTATTGATTAACAACTCACAACTCTTCCTAGCTACTGACAGGATTCAGTGACGATTTTCTACAGTTATGCCAGACAGACCTCCATCTCCACAGGTGATGTAGCATGTACCCTTCATAAGTGGCTCTGAGCCACAGGCTAGGATTTGGGCCATTCTACTAAAGATGCTGAGGTAACAGTGTTAGTACTGGATACCAACTTTACACACAGATATAGTGACAATTTATGAGAATGAAATACATATACAATCAATTCTAACACAAGCATCAGCCTCCAGATCTTCTGATAATTTATATAAATGGTATGTTGGATTTTGAATCACTGTAAAATACACCTGGAGGGAAAAATTTTTAAAAATCATGTCTAACTCAGAAGTTTCAGTCCATGGTCAGCCGGCCCCTGCTGCTTGGACTGGGGTTAAGCAGAGCATCCCCTGGGCCATAACATGAGATAGAGCAGCGTGTTCTCTCATTAAAAAAGGAAAGAGAGGGTCAATTATGAAAGGCTACAAGAAGCCCTTGAAGAGCACATCCCAAAAGGTCTACTTCCTCTAACCAGGTCTCACTTTCTCAAATTTCTATCAACTCTAAAAACAATGCCCTAGTTAAGAACCCAGCCTATGGAGTCATTTCATATCCAAACCATAACAATGAATGAATGTACTATTATTAATAGAATGCAAACAAGAATAATATAGAAATAGAAGTAATGGCAAGGGTTTGACAGTTCTGAAATGAGGACCATATTGCATCAGTATCTGAATGCTTTTATTATGGTGTGTTTCAGATAGAACTGACAGTCCATGCTAAATTTATTATTAATGTTGACAGCACTACAACGCCAAGAATCATGGACACGTTGATCAGCAATCAGTAGGTATCTTGAACAAAAATTATTAAAGTGCCTAATATTAGAGATTGCCTGAAAAACAATTTTTAAAAATGCAATATTTCTTAGTATGGATTTGAAGCACAATTAGTCTTTTCTAATTGGAGAAAGATTTTGGTAATCAAAACAATTTGTTACAATCTTTCAGAATTTGGATAATGTTAAACTTTCCATATGTGAAAAAGACAAGGATGGTTGGGAGTACTTACATGGAGATCACACTAAGGAAATTTAAAATGATTTTTGAGGGTAAATGATGCTTCTAAAAGATTATACTGATAATATAGTTATAAGGGTGTAAAAAATCAATCTTAATCACTTTCATATCATTGCATATAGTCATGGGAATATACCTGTTGAAGCTGATCAACTTAACAATAACAAACAAGTACAATAAACTTTGCCTCCTTTGGAATATAAGTTACCTTAATAATTTTGATATCTAAAATTAAAAAGTTGCAGTATTAGACACAATTCATCAATAAAACAATTTTAAGTGTAAAACTCATGTTTTATGCAATGTAACTTAGAACAGTTAAACTTTAGTAAAGCTGGGAAACAGGTATCTTCATTACAGTCTTCTCATTTAATTCTATAAGCTCCTCAAGACTATTTCTCTCAGTGCCAGCATTCTTTGTCTAGAGTGGAGGCTTCTTCAGATGTCCTCCTGCTCAGTTTAACATATATAATTACTTTGTCCTTGTAGGCAGCCATGTTTGTGAGATTTCATGGGTGCTGATCCTCTGACACTTTTAGGAGATATAATATTACAACTGATTCCTATTTCTAAGACTGGCAAACACTATTAATGTTTTCACAGAACTTTGGGTAGAAGTCACAGGTCAATAGTAGTTGTCTTCCTCAATTTCTCTTTACATTATTTTTCAAGACACGATTTCTTCCTGAAGAGAAATCTAGAATTCACAGATTGGCGAGAATGGCTGGTCAGCAAGCTGCTGAGATCCTTATCTCGAGATCCTTATCTTTCCGTCCCCATTCCTTAGCTCAAGGAACCACAAGGGTGTGCTGCCGTTCCTAGCTTTTGTCACTGAGTCACTTCCTCAGAATCAATTTGACTTTTACGGAGATGCTAAACTTTAACAATTTCATACAGTTTTCCCTCCTCATTTTTTTTTCTGTTTTTCACTTTAGTAAACAATAATGCCATCAACAAATTTACCCAAAAAATGTTTTTCCCCTTGTATAATTTTAGAAAGTCCAAAGGCAAGACAGATTTCTGAGAAGTGGAATTGCTGCATCTATGTTTCTGAACACTTAAAGTTTTAAGAAATTAGCAAAAAATTCAAATAATGACATAATTTTTGTTTCAAATATGGTAAAGAGATTAATTAAAAAAAAACATTAGGGCATATGGAAAGCTCTAAAAAGAAATAGAAAAGCACTGGTATCTTTCAGAATATCCTGTCTACTTCCCTCTTTGTCTCACTGCTGTCTTGCTCAACAGAATAGCCTAGTTTAATTAGCCATCCTATGGCTTGTGTTTTCAAGCAGGCAAAGGAACAACCTACCAGCTTGTAGTTTACACTTTTGAGAGTTCTCTTACTATTGTAGAGTGCTATTGGCCAGATAAGAAGCACTTTTGTGGCTCAGAAAGACCTACATTTGTACATGGATGAGTTTGCTTAGGAAATGTGTAGGCACTTAGACAATGAAGGACACACTAGCATCTAGAAAAATAGCTCTGATATATGCCTAATGCAGAAACATGATCTGATCTGAGAAGCTTTATTGTACAACTGAGAATCGCCTTACATTCTCCGTGGTATTACAAAGTATGAATACTTATGCTGGATGGATCTGGTAAAACCATAGAATTTACGATCTTGCACATTTTGAATGGCTAACATACTATCTTCTTGGATTCATAGTGGCTATTTATGTCTATGATTTTGTTAACTGATTCTGCTTAATCTTTTAAAATTATT